TTTAACACTGTCGTTACAAATTACCGACGCAGCAATCTTAACTATAAAGATTATATTCCTGAAAGTGCAGATTTATGTAACACCTGGTTTCTTAAATCAACTCGCCCGCTGGGACATTGGGAGCGTTACAAAAATATACCTTCTGGAATTGTGCTCGCCGAGCGCTTCGCAATAAACTCTGCAGATGAAAATATGTATTTTCCTTTTGTATTAACGTATTGATTGTCTTAAATTTTTTTGCAATTTCAATTGTAAAAAAAATTAAACTGGTTGTTTTAACTTGCCAGCTATTGTCTTTACTTTTAAGTTTTTGATTTGTACAAACCAAGTGACTTTGGCTACTGTATTTATCTATAAAAATAGTTAAGCAAACATGGTAGGCGCAAAAATTACAAGAAAATATTCAAATTCTACCACAAAACTAAAATACTCTATCAACGGTAGAACTGCTACTAATGTTTATACTTTAATTCAATAAAGTTGCAACAAATTGCAGTGCACTGCTTGATTACAATGTTAAAGCAAGTAGGTTATATCTTAAAGTAATTAACAATTACTGTTATCCTGGTGCGCGGAACGAAGATAATTTGCTAGTATACAGAGATCCGGCGAGCGTTGTCTCAGCCTAATTGAATTTCCAACATCGAGAATTAGCTGAGGCTGCACCGAGACTCTTTCTTACGGAATATCAAAACAAAAATGCACCTTTTTAATATTAAAGCTTTCCAAAATAAATAATCACGTGTATAGAGACTTATCTTTTAAATTTGAGTTGCTGGTGGTTTTTTACAGGTAATAGAAAAATTTAAATGGTATACAGAGTGCTGACAATCGCAGAATAGATTCTCTAATTCCCTTTTCAATTGAATTCAATTAAGAATCGACTATACAGCAATATTTAAATTAAAAGATAGTCTACCACATAGATTTGTGGTAATAAGTGCAAAGCAATAGTTTGCCTCCGACGGCACAATGCTCCACCACTCCATTCGCACTGTTCTGCGCCCGCCAAGGAACGCCTGCAATTTCCCGCGTTCGTATCGCAGGCGACGTACAAAAATTGCTTTTCTGAACGTGAAAATGTAAAGAAAAAAAAGTTCATGCCATGCAAATTTTTGTAAAGTCATTCGGAGGCGTGCGTTTGTATTTCTCGGGTGAGGGTAAGAGGGTAAAGAAGGCGAACAATTGTCGTCGCGAAGAATTCCTTTATTTTGCAGAAGGGATATTGCGCGTCGGGTGCAGGCGTGCAGCTGCCGCCGAACGTAAGCGGTGTTTGCCGGCGGCGGGCGGCGGCGACAAGCTGCAGTAGATAGCTCGTCTTCCAATACTCCACCTCTAAACGAATATTTTCATGTTTACCGAACCCGATTTAATCAAACGAACCTATCGTCGTGCCGCTATGTTTAGTCATTTTCTCCTTGCGAATATACGAGTATCGGCTTGTCCTGACCTCGAATCGCGCGCTATTTGATCGTAAATATAAATAAATAGGTTTTCGTCTGTCTCTCTGTTAGATTCTTATCATATTTTATGATTCCGTCGGCAGGGGACGGTCACGCTAATTGGGGTATTTGACTGCTTCTATTACAATGTCGCGAAATATTATTCCTATCCTAGCTAATAATGTTTTCTCTACTTTTGTTTTGTAGCTTCCTTAAATGATTTAGATCAGCTTTCATTAAAGGTTTATATTTAATTATTTATAACAATAGAAACTGTGTGTCTGTGTGTTCTCTTAGACCAAAATAAAATTTGGCACAACTTGCTCATATATAAAAGTAGATGACTATTTAATATGGCAAGCAAAAATAAACACTTTTAGGCTTGTCTCGGCACCTAAATTAAAACTCATTTTCTATGCGAGTAGACAATGATGAGTACTAATTTAGTAGTCTTCATAATAAGATTTTCTTTTCTAAAAACTGAATAAGACATTTGAAAAATCTTGTTTTCAGGTAACGTCGCCGCATTGTAGCAGCATAATACGCAAAAAGGTAGGCGAGGCCTCGTAAGCGTCAATTTGTATTCACAGGCATGGGAACTGTGCTAATGGCTGTCTTAGATCAGAGGTGTTATATCCTTTAAATCCCATATTCACTTATTTGTGCAGATCAAATATATAGAAAATCTTAATAAAACATATTTTGCTACGATAGTATTCACGACGAGCATTTAATAAATTCAAGTAATAAAATAGTAAAACAGATCAAAAAAAGCAACACAACAATGTTACAGTATCGATATCTGAGGATTTTCATCTTAGTGCGACGATCGCAGTTTCGATTCTCGGCTTACGGTTGGCGTGCTGTAGCGAGGCGGCCGGCGTCTCCGCATTTTGTGGAACAGTCCTAATAACATGCCACAACTCATTCTGATTTATTCGGCCTCGTTATAATTGTGCGCTTCGCTGGCGCGCCGCTATTGCCCGCTGTTGCAATTTTCATGCAACCGATCCGCGAGAATGGATTTATTCTTTCTGGCAATTTAATCGTAATTTCCTTCTTCATTATAATAAATACAGATAGAACAAGCTTTTAGTATATTTATGATACCAGACATACAATCAAAACTGTTAAAATAACGAGCACTAAAAACCCACCACCGAAGGTATATAATTTTTTTGGTCGAAAATATGACTAATAGTATGCTTCTAGGTAATCTTTAAAGTCACACTCAGTACCAAACACTATTACAAATATTATATCAACATGATTCAGTAATGTAATGATTTAATGCTTCACGAAATATTGTGTAAAGCGGCCACTCGGTTAATATGAGCACGGCCAATATCCAGACGCGTTAATAGCGGCATGTAACAGTTCGAAGGACGTCTTAAAATAATGCAACTATTTATTCCAGCGTGAATCATCGCCTCACATAAACGTTGGAATCTTGTTATTTACCGACGCCAACGCCAACGCCCAGGTCATTTGGAAGAAGTACTCTCCACTAACCTTCCTTTTACGATAACAGAGATGCGACATAATTGACCTTAAAGTGATGCCACATATATTCATACTACGCGACATTTACCAATTAAAAAGTAAAACTAAAGTACAATTAGTGAATTAAAAATCCTAACAGATCTTCTAATATAAATAGTGCGAAGGTAAAAAGTTTCAAGCTTAACGTTTGGAAGCCACTCGAATTACACAGAGTTACATTAATTGCATTGTAACTCTAGCAATTGTGTTCGTTAACCAGCGATGGGCAGACCGTAAACTAAGTTTCGGTTTAACGCATCGCGTCCTCCCCCTGTCTTTGTGATTACGAGCTCCGAACAATACAATCAATCGTCAACTTTTATTTGAGTTATCTAGGAAATAAAAAAGCAAGCAAACAATCGTCGGGGCTCGGATTACGTGAAACGCAAAGTTTGAAGGTGAGCCGGCGACCGTCTCCCTAATAGACAAGAAAAATACGTTAATGTACTCTCGGATCCCGAAGACAAATAAACCGAAATAAACCGGACGAAATAAAGCGGGGAGGCAGTGAGATAAATAACAATGATGTTGCGGAACGAGTCAACGGCATCGCCCGCGTGTTCAGTGCCAGGTCCGCCTCGTATCCAGCTCGTCTCGTCCTCGCAGGGGTCAGCGTCATTTAACAACTTTGCATATCTCCTCCATCTAATGCACCTCATGCCTTTTCGTAACAAAAATCCAAAGAGACAATTACATTGAATCACCAACACGGACCCGACATAAAACAACTTTGCACATTGACTTAAAACTGGCTTTTGTTATTTTGTTAGCAAACCTTTCCGCCTCAAAGCATTTACATACGCCCACACAACTATATAACATTGTTTGCAAGTTTATGGTGTTTTTACTAATGTTTTTACATCTTGCGATTTTATCAAATCACGAACACGTTTACAGCTTTTATAAGCAAATGTCATCTAATGTTCACTTTAATAAAATTCTGTAAAAATTAAATGTTAAATTAACTTAGACAAGTGCAACAAATAATGTACCTAGTTCCATTTCTAACAAAGTATTTTTAATTAGATTAAAACTTTACCTGCGACAAAAAGATTCATCTTGTCAGTAAAATTATTTTAAAATCAAGTAGATTACATGTTGCATCTCCTCGTCTTTATTACATTCTAACGTGTAAAAATCTTAGCACACTCTTATATTTTTTTCTTTTAATTTTAATTAACTGGTTTACGACTTTGAAATAATTCTCGCAACTTGCTAACATTTAAAACCGCATAATCAGAATACTGATATGACACAAAGGCATTTCGCTAGGAAAATATTTAACGCTATTCGCAACTAAATGAATGGAACAAACTCTATGCTGGAATGAATAGCTAAAGAAACAATGTCCCTTCGCTCGTAACCGCCGGATGCGTTCTAATGCTTCAGGGTTGACAAATTTGTTTAACACATTCTAAGAACAAAAACATTAACACTGACTGATTTAGCTAAATAAAACACTTGAAGTGAATAGAATTTACAGTTTTCTTTTCATTCTCCAAAAATAAATGTCTATCCAAAAGACGTGACAGGCACAAGATTTAATAATTGTAACAAATTGAATACTTTGACTTCATTACAAATTAACAACGTTAAAAATTCCGACCCTTCACCTAAACTTATCTTTTAACCCTTTCCAACCCTGAGCTTGACTTTAACGCAACGCTTTCTGCGAGACATTTTGTCTACGTCAGCACAACGGATTGTCATAATTTTCTCTCAAAACAATTTCATTTTTAATTAGGATATTTTAAAATTAAAAACTTAAAGAAGTCTTTTGTAATTAGTGCCTTTTGGTTAATAAAACCTTGAGTTAAGAAGACAGAGTTGGTTTTAGAAAAGTGAATGTTACAATGAAAACCAAATCTATTTAGAACTAAAACAATGTAATTTCAAAGAAATGTTAATATTGCGAAAGGTGAAAACGTTGAACAATTTACGTTGATCGCTTTATGGTTTATTACAGCATTTCTGTACGAAAACAAAGCTAGGGGTGTTATTTATCGTGCAAAATAAGCGAAACTCCAAAAAAGCTAAAGTTAGTAGGTACGCGTGGAAATATAACAAGTGGAGCTTGCAACACAAATCTTTCACTGCATTCTGTAAACAAATAAATTTACAAATTTTCGACCGTTTCCATTTTAAAGTTCAGGTAGTACGGCACGAAATCGGATCAGTGTTAACGAGCACATTGCAATTAAGTCGTGCCGCATGTCCCTCTCGACGTTTTTGCGAGCACCGAAGCTGCGCACAATTGTCTCTTATGAATTGTTTGTTTGTTGGCAAATGCTCATGTTTTATTAAATACTGCTTTATGTTTTGTGACTCGACTAATTCTTTTAACATTATCTTTTGTTTGTGAAGCTGCTTTATTTTGTTCATTACGCTGCTGATCGAGAAATATCTTTATTGTAAAATGTTTCTCTTTGGTTTAAGTTTATTTAATTTCAACACCGAACACATACAAATTTTATAATGATGACGATATAACGTGTATAGTGAAAATATTAATAAAACCGCAATAACCTAGAGTCGTTCCAAAGTCGATGGTGCAAAGTTGCTAAGTGCTTACGTAAGGTCCAATCCGGTGCCGGTGCCGGTGCCTCGGCGAACTTTTCCTACAAATGTTAACCACCGTAATAGGAAAAAGGCTTTGGCTTCAATGAACGTTATTACTTCACAATATTAAATTTGAAACAAGTGTTACCAACCAATAGCAGAATACTTTGTCTTTGTTATAGTGACTTTCTAATAGACAATATCCTTTTCCATTGAAAATATATGCTTCTATATTTAACTTTTATATATGTCGAAGTGACGAGCGGTTTGTGGAATTAATTCCGAAGGCAGATGATATGCACGGTAACTATACGCAATTATAGACTTGCGTATGTCGGAGTCAATGAAATAACGATCGCGTAGCACTATCCTTAGTTGACCACCATCTTAATTGATAACTTCACGACACACTCTAATCGAATTGCAAATAATTATAGACATTAACCAATTGATTTTATAATAACAAATCGCATCATTCCAACATTCAAAGACAACTGTCAACAGTCACTCGATCGACATCAGTCAACGCCGATGCAATTCAGCCAGTACTCAAAATTATTAGTTGCTAGTTACTTTAATCGTTCAAAAAGTATCAATAATTTCGCCCCGTAATAGATATTTTTAAGTATTCTAGTAAGACAAAAGTATTCTTATAAAATTATCTGAAGAAGATACAGAATTTGGATTCTCGATACAGAAATTGGAATTATCAATTTAAAGAATAATATTAAAGCTTTAATTTCTAAAATAAAAAACATATCCTTCAAAGGCAGTCTAATATATTATTAATCACACAAGATTACATCGAACAAGTTATTAACAAAGTAAAAGCTAAGTGAGTTAGCAAAGTATCGTGAAAACACAAACACATATACAAACTCACATACAATATCCTGGTAAAGACTGATCGATAAGATCGGAAAAGTTTAGATGGAGACAGTTCGATAGATGTGATCCCGTATCTGGAACCAATGATTTGTTTTGCTTGAAATTTATTCGGGAACTTCGAAGTACTATAGATTAGCAGTATTTAAAATATCTAATCTCGCAAATCTAGCTTTATTAAAAGAATTTTTGTGATCTTTATTATAAAGGTATATTTATAGTAATAGTTGCGTAAAGAAGCATTTAAACACCATCCTTTGACCACAATATGTTAAAAGCCAAACATTAACCTACATATCGTGAGAAAGTAAAGAGGTCATGTGTCAGTAATTACGGCCTCGACTCGCTGCACTACGCAAAACATAGTCGCGTTAAACCGCTATTGACCGTCGGTTTGTCAAAGACAATTAGGCCTTTTGGATACCACGTAACACTGAAATACTCTTCAATATGAATAGATGAAATTAATTTTACCAGTCACACATTTATCATTAACCACAATCCATCAAATTAACCACAAAAGTACATTTCGATCCGATGAGACCACTTCATCGGAAATTTGATATTGGGCTAAACTAAATATAAAACCGTACTGTTAAATATAGCATTATAAATCGTTTGACTACCACGCACGTCCCTTAACAGCCGCAAATGTGGCTCAGTTCGGGTGTCATGCTAATGATAACGGGCCACGCCGCCGCACGAGTCACTTATGCGACGTTATTAACTCCTCGTTACAGTTTAACTGCTTGATTAAATTTTTATGCACAGCGTCACTTCAGTCGATCATCAAATTTACAAACCGGAACAAATCTCACTACAAAACGCTTTAGTTTTAATAGGCTTGATTTTAATATTCAGACTGTCCTTCTCTGATTAATTTCAAAATAACTCATAAGAGCTCATGTATCTATGCGAAAAGATATAAAGTATATTTGCAATGTCTTAAAAAATATTAGATCAGAAAAAAATAACTCTAGACAAGATAACTAAAACGTCAAAATTTTTAAATCATCACAATCCTACACGTAACTAATTTCGAGCAATTCTAATAAATTCACACAAATGTATTCTATTTCGCTAATATTTTATCGAGATTTGTTTCGTTACAATCTCGTACGACACTGCACGAGCCTGAACTCCCGCCTTATGCCTATACAGGAGAATCGCATCTCCAACTTATGGTGACCTCCCATGAGCTCCGCATCACATCTTAAATGCAGCGAAAAAGTACAAGCTACGTACACGATGACGGGCCTTTTGAAATTGGACACATTGTAATAGCAAAAGCGTGTCCCATAAAGAACATTCCATGTTTTGTACATCTGGCTTGTTTCATTACGCGACTCTATTCCTAAGCGGATTCAATATGAACAATATATAATACGATTGTTTATGCAAAGTTTCGTTGTGTATGTTATTACTTATGAGTTTGTGAACTCAAGTTAGTTAAACTATTGCTGATAAATTGATGTTAATGGTAATTTAGTGGCCTCTAGAGCTCAGATACAAGTTTATGAATGTTGGATCGAATAGTCTATTGAAGATTAGTAGACACTGACAAAGAAAGAGAAACAAACGAATTAAAGATAAAAAAAAACCTTTTAATTGTTTGGGAAATTCTACATAAATTCTTATGCTTGAATTATTTGGTTTATGTTTTATGACATCCTGCGAAACTATCAGAATATGTTGTGAATATTAAAAAATTGTTATGTCAGCTAAATCAGTCATTCCCTTGATTTCTTTATTGTTGCGGTCAAATATTAGCAAATTTACATTGTTCGTGTGCGCTAACAATGTACAAAATTGTGAACGGAAGCAACAGCTCGGCTCGCTCCCTCCACTACCATTTGTCACATGAAACACAAACAAGTTGTCAAATGGAAACTATTGAGGTCTTTTGGCAGCGACCGAAGCCAGCACGACTTGATCCACTGACTCTCCGCCTGATACTGTTTCAACAAGAAACTGTAACTGTCTCCTTTTATATCACATTTTAATTGTTATACTTAAAATCTTTATGTAGCACAAAAAGATTGAAATCACGAACATAAAACGATATAGGACTTTGAAATAAAATATCTCCTTTCCACTTTATCAAATATTTCATTGGTTTTAGTGAAAAATTCAAAACTTTTTCGTAATGTTACTCTTTGATAGCGAGTTGCGACTAATCTTTTAACGCGTCACAGGCGCACGCACATAAATTGATGGTGAATTACGATCTGCCCCAAACGGAGTCGATGTTACAAACTCACCTTCCACCTTCCACCACCCCACTGTAAATTTAAACTTCACTCGAGTCGAGTGGTCGCTCGCATATATTCCATTTTCAATCATATGATTGAACTTTTTTCAAACTTTAATATTTGAAATAGTATCTAATTTTTGTTAAAACGTTTTCAGTTTTAGGTATTGTAAATTGAAAACTAAAAGAAAAGAAAAAACGTAGTAGCGTAGACGGTTCTTTGAGCTAGTTAGTTATTCATTATTACATTTCTACGTTTCCGGTCGGTGGATTTTGATTTATGGTTTTAATTTGGCGAGGTTGGCGACGACAGGCCGAGACATGTCGGAGTGTTTTCAAGGAGCCATCGTGCAATTGTTTAATTAATCTTTAGCTACAGAAGCGTCGGGCGGCGCGGCAGGCGGCAGGCGGCGGGCGGCGCGGCACACTCGCGGTGCGGGTGCACTACACTCGGCCCAACTTTAAACTCGTTAAAAGTTCCTTTGAAACATTTGGCGCCAGATAAGCCGCAGTCAGACTTGCTCTTTGGATTGTTAACTTATCAAGTGTTATAATTAAACAGCCTTTCATGTTCAATTTTGCCTCGTTAGGTTTCAATTGTTACTCTCGACGAATGTATTGAGACCTCGCGTATCTAAGTGCAGACCTAATTACTTATTCACGTTGCATACAATCGTCCGAGAAATTGAGGCGTTGTGTAGTGTTTCTGTATTCACGCAAACCATGTACACGGCTACAGAGCTACACGACGGCGGATGAGGCCGGCATTGAGGGAACAAGGCTCATTCCACGCACACAAGATGGCCGACAATAGCCCTTAGCGGATAATTACTCAAATAGATTGCCCATTGGGGCATTGTCTCCGTGTGCCTCGGCAATAACATACGAACGTCTCCAACTCGCACGCTATAAAATAAAACAAACTGCCAAATGTAACAAAATGGATTTTCAGGATATAATTCGATTAAAATAATCGGTCAAACTAACTCAATTTCAGTCCGGGCGACATGAAATGACTATTTAGTCAATTTTATTACACACATTTGTCACGGAATATGGAGGCTGCCAACAAACAAGCGCAGTAAATGGACATCTGATTTTAACCAGCTCATAATGGGCCTGTAAATTTTTTTTCTCTGCTCGCATCGGGGGCTTTTAATCAGACATTTTGATCAACACGTCCTCGCTCGGTAATATAATTACAGTTAACAGCAGTACGGCGACGTTATCGCGCATATAAATTAGAGCGATTTACATTTAGCGTCGCGACACGGACCCGGCCATTATCGTGAGTGATGCGGGACTAGGTGCGGGGTACCGCGCGGGGTGCGGGGAGAGACCTGATCATCACACGTCGCTGACGTCATCAATTGTTTCATCAGCATCTTAAACTTCTAAATGTTCTACCCTTTATTTACTGCAAAGTTAACATAAAAACAAACATTGTATTATTTGACCATTAAAGTAGTCGCTTTTAAGTATTTTGAATTTACTCTTAAAAACGATAATATTCATAGAGAATATAAACATATCGAATGAGACTGAGATGACGTATGATAGAGTTATGTGGAGGACAAAAACCTGTTGCGCCGACCTTACGGGAGTAGGATAAGGAGATGATGATGATGATAGGGTGAAGGCATACTTAAAATGTGAATATTGTATTCGTAGTTGCATGAAACCTTATAGTAAATTATTACCAAACTTTTGATTCAAAAGTAAAGCTTGTCCAATTCAAATCTCGAACGCGCGTTAATCTAATTAGAATCATTCATTAAACATTCACTCAAATTATTTCCGTCACACCGTTCATAAATTAAATTGCCATATTTCGTGGCAAAACCTCTGCAAATTGGTCTTAATTTACTCGAAACGTATAGCCTTAATGGTAAGCGTATAAGTAATATCACTTTATACATTGCAGGGGATGGGAGGGCGTCGCGAACGTAGCGCCTGAATAAGGGTTGCTTCCACACAATAATTTCTCCCTTATAATATTATTTATTACACCGCACATTGGGCTGTACCCAGTTGCTCCATAGACAACTTTATCTGATGTTTGAAATGTCTCTTTTTTTTGCTTGAATGTGCTTTGTATCAGTAAATGCATACCTTATAACGTAATATTTATCTTGTATCGATGTTTTTGGCGCAATTAGAACGTTTTCTCTGAAAATTTGTATGGAGTCGCCCTCAAAATTGG